ACCCAGACTACAATGAGCACGTGTCCTAAGCGTGGTTGTGTTTAAACACCGCATTCGATATACGTGTTCATGTTAAAGGACGTGCGGTGCTGTCCCTGGTAGGTACTCAGTTGCCAGCCTTAATAGGCGCTCGTTTTCATACCAATTACCACGACATCCTGTTATTCTTATTAAAGCTAAACAAATCGTGGGTTGTGTGTAGCTACGTATATGTATTATTTTGGCTTTGAGTGTTGTTGATTATATAATATTGGTCACCACCTCGCCAATTAATGTACTTTTATTGTATACAGTGCTGTGTATGTGTAGCCATACATATGATTATTGTACGAACGCCAACTCTATTTTGGCTGTAGGCATTTGTCTATTGGGTTGGCATTTATGCCATCCAGTCAGTCGGTCACGATGGTATTATCAATATTTACAGTGTATGTTTTACTTCTCTGCTATGACCAAATCACGAACATCATGAGCCTGGATAGTGCCTAGGATGGGCGACCACCACACGCTAAAACATGTGTTATTGGGCTTCTGCCAGGATATGTTGCTGTGAGCAGTGCAGAATCATTCCCAGTTTTAGGGCCATCCACTTAGTCCGTACGCAACAAAAATATGTCAAAACTTGACCCCTCTACCCCCCTTCCCTTCCCTGTACCCACGCGGACTTTTTACAGCTCCCCCCCCCCCCTTACCGAATCCTATAGAACGTTCGATATTTAATCCACGCAGAAACGATCAAGGATGAATAATTTTAACGTGTTTAAGCAAATAGATAGTCCACCGCCGGGCTATCTAACCCATTTGAAGGCCAATATAGACAAATTATTATCGAGGCTTCACCACCCCACCCCATACACAAGTGTACGCGTTTGGGTTAACCCCCACACTCCATGCGAACGTACTGAATGGATGTCCTCTTTACTCTTTGGTTCTTTCGGTAAAGTCACGTAGGTATAAAATCAAATAAATCACGACGTTTCGAGCGCAACACCATCATCAGGTGGGAAAGGCATGGTCTGCTGCTGAGGCAGACTGACCATGCTTAACCCACCTGATGATGGACGCTTGTGTGTTGCGCCCGAGAAACGTCGTGATTTATTTTAGTTTATACCTACGTGACTTTACCGAAATAACCAAAGAGTATGGATGGCCTCTTGTTGTTGCTGTACCACCCCCCCACATGTCACCTGCCTGCACCATCCTGCACTGTGACCAGCAGTGGACTCTAGATTTGAAGCTTTCGTGACCGCAGGGATCCATACTCTTTGGTTCTATTCGGTAAAGTCACGTAGGTAAAAAATAAAATTAAAATAAAACAACAAAAATCGTGACTTTACCGAATAGAACCAGAGTACAACAGTGGACTGTCACAATAGTGAAGCCGTCTTGTCATTTGCGTGCGTGTAGAAATTTGCCTAAACATCCATCCGTCTCTCTATGCAGGCACCACCTTATCTGCCTCCAAGTGTGTGTTTGTAATGTACACACGTATACATTTTGATTTAAAGCTTTCGTGACTGCAGGGATTCATATTCTTGGTTCCTTCGGTAAAGTCACGTAGAAGAGAAACAATAAAATAATACAAATATATATAAAATGTTTTATCGTTTCCCTTCTACGTGACTTTACCGAAAGAACCAAGAATATGTACACGCGTATGTTTGAAATAGACATATTTTGAGAGTTACACTGTGTATGTTTCGCGTCGTACGTAGCCAACCGCGTTAATCGGAGGTTCCGATTGTAAAGGACAACAAACTAAACACACACACACAAAAACACAGTTCTAAGGCAATGAGTTTAAAATCGAGATAACGTCAAAGTTGCATAGCTCCACAGTAGCTTCCTAATATCGGGAGGAATGAGCGTTCTAGATTTCAAGTTTTCGTGACTGCAAAGTTCCATATTCTTTGGTTCTTTGGGTAAAGTCACGTAGGTGGAAAAAAAGAATTTAAAAAAATAAAAAAAATCACGACGTTTCGATTGTTGATTATTGCTTGTGTTGCAATCGAAAAGTCGTGATTTAATATTCGTTGGCTCTTTAGGTAAAGTCACGTAGGTAAAAAAATAATACTAATAAAATAAAATCACGACGTTTCGGAGGCAACACAAGCTTCCTTCATCAGGTGTAAAAAAGGCACAGCAAAATAACTGTAGAAAATATATTTCGCTGTGCCTGATGAAGGAAGCTTGTGTTGCCTCCGAAACGTCGTGATTTTATTTATGATTTCATTTATGATTTATTTATCATTTTTTACCTACGTGACTTTACCTAAAGAACCAAAGAGTATGGATCCTTGCAGTCACGAAAACTTCAAATCTAGTCGTGATTTATTTTTTTTCCATAAATTTTTCCACCTACGTGACTTTACCGAAAAAACCCAAAGAATATAGGAACGAACGTTCCAGACGGCCGCAGAATCTGTCGCATCTGAGAGTGCTGCTACTGCTGCTGCTGCTACTGCTGCTGCTACTACTGCTGCTGCTACTACTGCTGCTACTGCTGCTGCTACTGATGCTGCTACTGCTGTTACTGCTGCTACTACTGCTGCTACTACTACTGCTGCTACTGCTGTTACTGCTGCTACTACTGCTGCTGCTACTGCTGCTACTACTGCTGCTGCTACTACTGCTAACTGCTACTACTGCTGCTACTGCTGCTAACTGCTACTACTGCTACTGCTGCTACTACTGCTGCTACTGCTGCTGGTACTACTGCTGCTGCTGGTAATACTGCTGCTACTGCTACTGGTACTACTGCTACTACTGCTGCTGCTGTTACTGCTGCTACTACTGCTGCTGCTGCTACTACTGCTAACTGCTACTACTGCTGCTACTGCTGCTAACTGCTACTACTGCTACTGCTGCTACTACTGCTGCTACTGCTGCTGGTACTACTGCTGCTGCTGGTAATACTGCTGCTACTGCTACTGGTACTACTGCTGCTACTGCTGCTGCTACTACTGCTGCTACTACTGCTGCGGTGGTGACCACCGCCTTTGTTGTTGATGGCTTAGCCAGAAAACCCCACTGCTGCTGCTCCTTGCTGCTGCTGCGAGGATGACCGGAGTTGACTTGATGATGGTTTGTGTGGCTCTCATTGACGAGATCAGCGAGAGGCATCGCGGCTCATTTGTGTGTGAACGAGTGCGAGAGACGCTTAACAGCCACAGCAAGCGGCAAGGCAATGATGGACATTGTAGCGGTGTCGTGAGAGCGAACGATGGAGCGAGGTTGATGGATGGAGGTGAAGAAGGCGGACAGGGAGCAAAGCCAACCTGCAGGGCCATTCCATTGCGCTGTGTGCCGGCGGGGCGGTGCTGGTTGGCGGCATCTTTGGTTAGCGAGATTCGGCGGTGGTGGTGGTGGTGCTGCACCACCGCCGAATCCACCAAACACCGGTGGTCAGCGATTATCTTGTGCCGCTCCTGGCACCCCCCCCCCCCGGTCAATGAGTGGTGTTAAACGTCGTCGATTGGGGAGACAAAGGCGGCCGGGCGTGGGCGCTTGGCCACGTCCCCACCCACCCCGAAATGGTGCTCCGCGGCCGCCGGCCTTCGCAAGGCGCAACAGGAACTTCGACTGGCAGCACTTGGGCCCCCCACCACCACCACCACCCACCACCACCCCACGACAGTGAGTCTGCCGAGGCTACTACTGCTGTGGTGGTGGGGTTGGTGGTGGTGGGGTGGTGGGGTGGTGGTGGTGGGGTGGTGGTGGTGGGGTGGTGGTGGTGGGGTAGTGGTGGTGGTGGGCTGTGGGAGGAAATCTTTTGCCTTTTGTCTCCTCTGCATTCTCGAGTCAGCGGTGGGTGGTTGTGGGTGGGTGGCTGTGTCAGTGGTTGTGGGTGGGTGGTTGTGGTGGGTGGGTGGTTGTGTCGGTGGTTGTGGTGGGTGGTTGTGTCGGTGGTTGTGGTGGGTGGTTGTGGGTGGGTGGTTGTGTCGGTGGTTGTGGTGGGTGGTTGTGGTGGGTGGGTGGTTGTGGTGGGTGGTTGTTGGTTGGTGGGTGGTTGTTGGTGGGTGGTTGTGGTGGGTGGTTGTGAGTGGGTGGTTGTGATGGGTGGTTGTGGGTGGGTGGTTGTGGGTGGGTAGTTGTGGTGGGTGGTTGTTGGTGGGTGGTTGTGGGTGGGTGGTTGTGGGTGGGTGGTTGTGGTGGGTGGTTGTGGTGGGTGGTTGTGGGTGGGTGGTTGTGTCAGTGGTTGTGGGTGGGTGGTTGTGGTGGGTGGTTATGGGTGGGTGGTTGTGGTCGGTGGTTGTGGTGGGTGGTTGTGGGTGGTTGTGTCGGTGGTTGCGGTGGGTGGTTGTGGTGGGTGGTTGTGGGTGGGTGGTTGTGGTGGGTGGTTGTGGTGGGTGGTTGTGGGTGGGTGGTTGTTGGTTGGTGGGTGGTTGTTGGTGGGTGGTTGTGGTAGGTGGTTGTGGGTGGGTGGTAGTTGGTTGGTGGGTGGTTGTTGGTGGGTGGTTGTGGGTGGGTGGTTGTTGGTGGGTGGTTGTGGGTGGGTGGTTGTGGTGGGTGGTTGTGGGTGGGTGGTTGTTGGTGGTTGTGGTGGGTGGTTGTGGTTGTTGGTGGTTGTGGTGGGTGGTTGTTGGTGGGTGGTTGTGGGTGGGTGGTTGTTGGTGGGTGGTTGTGGTGAGTGGTTGTTGGTGGGTGGTTGTTGGTGGGTGGTTGTGGGTGGTTGTTGGTGGGTGGTTGTGGGTGGTTGTTGGTTGGTGGTTGTTGGTGGGTGGTTGTGGGTGGTTGTTGGTGGGTGGTTGTGGTGGGTGGTTGTTGGTGGTTGTGGTGGGTGGTTGTTGGTGGGTGGTTGTGGGTGGGTGGTTGTGGGTGGGTGGTTGTGGGTGGTTGTTGTGGGTGGTTGTTGGTGGGTGGTTGTTGGTGGGTGGTTGTTGGTGGGTGGTTGTGTCGGCAGCTAGGGGCGTTGCGCTAAGCGATGTTGGGGCCCAGCCCACGCACGCAACGAAGCTCCCCCCCCCCATTGCGGCTTCCTCTAACACGGGGGCGGCGGTGTGGGGGGAGGCAAAGTGTGCTTGCTGCTGCTGCTGCTGGGTTGGTTGACTCCCCTCTCTCTCTCCCCTTACTCTCCCCTCTGTATGTGGCCGTGTGTCGTTGTTACAACGCTCCGGTAGTACCCGAGGAGTCCCTCCTCATCCTCCTCCTCCTTCCCCACGCCCCGAGAAGTAAAAAGCGGCACACGGCGCAGCGTTTGTCGCCCTGGCCGACTCCGTGCAAGGAAACCTTGGCGATGCGGCATCAGAGACGATTCATTTTGTAACGAAAAGTGTGCGTGTGCATGTGTGTGTGTGTGCTTCATCCGCTGGCCGGAGGAAGGTTGTTGTTGTCGTCGTGTGTGTGTGTGAAAGTAAACAAGCCGTGTGTGGTAGATACGTTGCGTTGGTACGTATCCACTTACCGGTTGCATTAATGACTCGTTCTGGGCTGTAGGCACCGGATCGTAGTAAATAGTCAACGCGAAACTGCGTCTGCAAGCGTTAGTCATTAATCGTTGTGTGTTTTTTTAAACTTTACTTTACAACAAGGCGATATATATCGCCCCCTGGCACACAGAGAGAGAGAGATTTTTTTGTTGTTTGTTGAGCAAGCCATCGTTTGGGAGTTTGTGGATATATCGGTGAAGTTTGAAATAAAACAACGACGACAAAACATTTATCCTTAGCCAAGTTTTGATTATTATTATTATTTTTCTGAACAAGGGACATCCTCAATTTGCGGTGAGTACCGAACTAAACACATTTACATTTTACTCACAAGCACATACACGTTACCATTGTGTGTAATACCATTGTGTGTAGCGTGTGCTGCTCCTATGTTTAAGGCTTATTATTTATTATAGTGCTTCTGTGTACAAGTGTACGTAGAGTGTGTGAAACATTAGTCTATGATGTGTAAGTGGGGTTTAGAAGACACTGACTGAGGCGCTTTGTGCCTTCTGATGATTATAGAGTATAGACCAAGTCCAGTAAGTTGCCTTGGACCAAACTGCGCAAGTCAGTACTTGGCACGTGTGAAGATGATTGCTGCTTGTGTGGGTTATCTAACAACATGTGTCATGCATGACACCGTACGGGCTGCGGATAATACCTAAGATTTAAAATACGGCGATGCATTCCCCACCCGTACCCACACAATGATAAACAATGATAATATATTTGCAACGAAGCCAATTCATTTTGTTCGGTCACTTATCAGTGCCAGGCCATGTGCCAAGCACATTGCACACTTCCCGATAAGATCTGCATAGCTTTCACCGTTGTGTACGAGAATAAACGCTGCAATGCACGGGTATGTGACCCCCCCGCCCCCAATACATTGTGTATTAATTGTCGAGTTGGTACGCAATGAGATCCTCTACAGTATAGTCTTTTAACAGACTTAATATAGTTTTTTTAAATATATATATAAATGTGTCGTTAAACCCGCCACCACCCGACACAACCAATTAGTAAGGGTTGTCACGTAAACAGAACGTGGCCAATTCGTCACTAGTACAGCAACACCGGTGTGTGTTGGAGAGCAAACCCACAACATGTACAATCTGAGTCCGACGTTTCGCCGGTGATTACAACAAGCTCCATCAGGCGACAGCCATATTTGTGTAGAAATCCTCCTGGTTGAACGACACATTTAGATTTACGCGATCTAACCAACAACAAAAAACTATACATTATCGATGATATTGGTCGCGAAAGCCTACGTGTTAAACTTTGAACGGACTGTTGGGGGGGGGTGTGGGTGGTGTGGTCATCACCACGCCCGACCGCCTTTGTCTCCCCAGTGGCGATGTACTTTTATACACACTATGTACTCATATTGAGTCCTGAGTCCCCACATACAAACACACACTCACACGCCCCATAGCCATTTCAACAGGGGACATTGTGCCCTGCCTGCACAGACGATGCATCAGCAGAATGGCCTGGGCGTGAGATCATCATCATCCACAGTAGATGCTTTGGGCAAAAAAAGACTGCACATTTTTTTAAACTGGACACATGCCTGCGAGTACTTTGGCTTTTTTTTCATCCTCCACGTTTCCCATCTCACTGGTTGGAGTGGGGGGGGAGGATGATATAAGCATATATGTGAACATCATAGTTACTGCAACATTTTAGTCTAATCATGTGTCAGAGTGTCATATACACACTCTACTTACACATTGCCTGTGTATAGACTACGGTACTCGTATCCACCGATCTGTTAGCCACACACGCACACGCAACGTAGAGCTTGTTACATGATGCGACTTGTCATTTGTGTTTTTTTTACGAGATCGCAAATTCTTGGCTATTTTCACTGCTTTGTTTTTCTTAACACTCATTTGCGTGAACTTCTAAATGACAATGAAGCAGTAAACCCCCCGCCGCCTGCAGTATTCAAAGCACAGGTCGCCTTGTTTGTGTTAAGTAACCTTACACTATGTTGTTTTGGGTCTTACTCCCCTATACCGTTAAATCATTGTCCCCGAGTGAAATGAGATTGGCATAAAGTACATGCAAATTGAACTGTCATCTGCAGGGATATGATTTGTCTACACATTTATGTGTGTGTGTATTGTTTTTATGAAGTACTTTAGATGTACAGTTTTCTCATGTTCATGTAACCACCCTTATGTCAATCCACTGCTGGATGGGGGGGGGGGGGTCGCGTGTGTTCTATTTGACCATACTTCATGGTGCTGTTCAGAGGCAAGGTAGGTGAAGGCAATAGAGCCATATCCACGTGGGAGCATAGCAGAACAGTACAACATCTTGTTTATATACGTTGCGAAGTTACAATACAGTGTAGGCATATTTGTGTTACAGATTGAGATGTAAATAATGAACTTAAAGCAAGTAAGAGCTGGATGGGGGAGCCCTGTTGGAATGTTAAACTTGATAATGAAACGCAGCACACCGATGCGCTTGAAGAAAGTGTTAATTCATTCCATACCTAATTCAATCCACACCTCATTCATTCCACACCTCTGTCATTCCACACCTCTGTCATTCCACACAGCATTCATTCCGCCCTGCTTTCATTCCACGCAGCAGTGCTACGAGTGGCAAAGAATGCTAAAGAAAAGCTGAAAAATGCACACAAACTAAGCAGAGATGCATGCTTGAATTTACACTGCGAGCCAGGGAATAAACAACAGATGGTGGGACATAACAATGACTAGCAGTAGTAAGAAGGCGTGGGTCGGACAGATCCATAGAATGGGCGGTTGCTTATGGACAAGACTGGTGATGGAATGGTAACATGGAGATGAAGTGATGAGATGTCTTCATTGCAAAAGCGTGGGATTGGAGCGTACGGAGTAGCATTGCAGAACTGTGAAAGAGTGGCGATGGCATCGGGAGGCCTTCATCCATCAGTGGACAGACCATGGCTGTTGCTTTTGCACAGTGCCGCATTCAATATTTACACTAGCACGACATAGCGTCATTGGTCACAGCAATACAAGCCCGTACAATGTCCTTTATTCAGCATCCACATTTACTGCACGTCGTATAAAAAAAATCGATGTGCATTTATGTAGCGCACTTCACATTAGCAAATGAAATCTCGGAGCACTTAACATAAAATGCATGTTTTGCATTAGTATAGTTCTGCTTACTCGTGGAAGAATGTGGGTTGTGAAACTGATGACCAACGTTACTTTAGGCCCTGTGCTTCTCGGAGGACTTGAAGGTCTCCGAGCCAATAAGGCATTCTTGCGTAATGTCATCTCTTTTCCATTCCGCTCCAGTATCATTGGAAACATGTGGTAAATAGACGCACGCTTTAGTTTGTAAAGGAACCAGACAATTGTCGGTCGGCCCCTCTGTGTGTGGCGCTTTGGACGTGACCGCCGGTTACGTAATCAGGTGTCCGCGCACACACACACAAGTGTGTGTGTATTCTTTGAAGTGTTTACCTGTGCCCTCCACCCTTTTCAGGCCTTGTTTGTGTTTTAATATGGCATGTCACGGGGATGTGTTTGCGCTGGCTCCCCTTTCTCCAGACTCACACATAGATTTTTTGCATTGCAACCAGAGCTCATGGGTATCTTATGAATGTAGGCATTGATTTTTTTAACTGCAGTATTTATACAGTCGTTGATTTTACCATTGGTGCATCTGAGTGTTGATTGCAGAAAAGGGGCAATTTGCCATGAGAGACTTTTAAAAATAATTTTTCGGAAGAAAATTATTGAGGATTATTTATATTTCATTTCAGATTAGTTTTACATTTTATGATCCAAATTTGCTTGGATGCAATAATTATTGTATTACAGTAAAAACAATGTGTCCTACCCCCCACTCCCTCTGAAATAGCTGGGTGTGCATTTCGCAATCTAAATTTAAACAATGCTTTTCTTTTTGAACGGCCATCATTTGCACTCTTAAGTGCTCCCTACAAGTTCATGAAGCACAAACATATTTTGTGATATTGGGTTTTTTTGTGCACGGTGGTGGTGCTGCTGCTGCACGCTAAGACCAAAAAAGTCTCTGAACTCAAGGGCCATACGAAGCCCAGGAGATGTCATTTATCTCTCACGTTTCTGACCTTTCGAATGAACTCAAAATCCCAGATGTGCTTTCTTAGTCCGCCGAGACATTTTCTTAAACCCACTGGCCATTCGCTTGCCCCCAAATTTAAAAATGTTCAATCCACATTTATTTTTGCTGACCTCTATTTTGGCTTGATGTGCTATCGTTTACATTTTTTTTAAATACTGTATTTGCATTTTGCTTCATTGCTACACACCCACAACTTGCGTATTGAGGCATCCGGTCTGATTTCCATTTAGTGTTACAGCAGGAAACAAAAGGCTGCTTGGCTGAATTCTTGTTTTGCAAAGATAATAAATAAATATGTTGAGACACTTCCAATCACCCATTAGCTGTTACGGGCTGATGACTAAATCGGTACTGTACTGTGCCCCGAACAAACCGGTTGTCGGGAGCCTCAGCCTTTGGCAGGGAAACTAGTATCACGTGTCTGTGTTCCCATTAAAAAAAAGTCTGGTTCTGGTGGATAGGAAGGGCTTCACTTTGCCACCTGTTAGGTGTTGAGTTGTCGCGAAAAAACGAGAGAAAATAATAACAACATGGCCCACATTCTCATTACTGGGACAATGAATGACTTTCAGACCTTGTTTGCTGATGACTGATGGTTCTTTACAGGTGATGACGCAGTAAAAAGGGCTTGTGACTCATGAAAAGATAGTGTCGTGCAAGCTCCGTGCCTTTACTGACAATATTAAAAGCATTACGTGTTCTCAAACCATTTACGGAAAAAAACGATGTTGTAACCATATTTCATGCCGTCGGTTAAGGCTAAATAAAAAATAAATACTTTCTTGAAATTGAAAGACTTTTACGTTGTATTTGAACAGCTCCGACCAGCCCTAAATTGGTTGGAACGCGTTCCCAAGGGTATTTGGTTAAATCGGTAAATAGTTTGACTCGTCTAATTCGGGCATGAGACCTGGGTCATCATCCGGTTTCTTTAAAATAAAATTTCCAATGCCTGCTTTTCTATGTGAAGTGAAGGCTGTGAAAACAGTGAAAGGCACTATAAGCTGAAATGTGGTTGGTCATAAAGGTAATCCTATCACTCTGGTAACAAATTTCATAATTAAATGCTTGTGCTGTTATGAGAATCATCTGCTAATCATCGCTATAAACCTCAATCTTCAATTACGGTGATTGTAAACTTAAATTAATGTTTATTGTATATTTAAATGACATTCTCATTGCACAGTTGTGCGATGTCTTTTCAGATTGTACCGCGTGTTGTTTTGCATGATGTCCGACGACGTTCCCAAAAAGCTCCCATCACGTGGAGCAAAATGTGGGACATCATGCCTAACAACACGCGGTTCAGCCCAAACACACCGGACAGCTGTACAGTACAACCGCAAAAAACGTATGCAGTAGTAATCTAATCGTTTGTTCTTTTTCTTTGTCATGCCTACAGCCTTGCAGGATAAGGAGTCGACAGTTGTCTTCATTTAGTCCACTAGGACTCGTGACAGAATCCACGAGCGAAGTGTACCATGATTTGATAGAGAAAGCTGCTGCTGCCGACTTCATCTGCTATTCAGTCACGGGACCTCAAAGGCCTTTTCTCCTCGAGTCCCACTCGTGCCAGTTAAAACCCTCGCGAGCATCAACGGTGTCGCAGCCCCCGCGGTGGCCGTGTCGTGTTAACCGCTCGGCGCCTCCCATCGTCACCGTCGTGCGTCCGTGCAATCGCGAGCGGTGCCTCCGCCAGGCCCCGCACGGCAAGCCGCAAGCATGCTGCAGCAAATCCTACGCGACATGTTTATCGAGCCGGAGCTGCTCTCCGAGCTCAATGATGACCAGAAGCAGATCCTCTTCTTCAAGATGCGCGAGGAGCAGGTCCGGCGGTGGAAAGAGCGCGAGGAGCAGATCGAGAAGGAGCAGAAAACGCAGCAGAAGAAGCCCAACTCGAACAAGCGAGGTAAGCGATTGAAAGTAGAGCTTGCAGCCTTTAGTCCCGTTTTTAAATAGGGTCAATGATAGTCCAAATACCAGCCAAACAACAATTAATGAATGACCTATTTGTGGATTGTATCTCATGGGTGAATTATATACCACTGTCATGTAACACTATGAACCAACCGTGCTCATATTTGGATCTTAACTGCAGTGTTTATAAATGTACGTGTACACGATTATATATTGTCTGATAGCGAACTATATTAAAATTGCAATTCACAATGTTAAATTATTTACCTCTTGCGTCAGTGATGTGCACTTTCCTCGACTACCATCATGTTGTGTGTATACACAGCCCTTTGTCCTATATTTCACGATGTTGGTCAGTGCGGGTTGGCGAAAGTTGGGAACGGAAACGTGGGGCAAAAGGAGTATAGTACAGCAATTGATTTTACTGCATGTTCCCCTGCTGCCTACAATGTAGTCCCGTAGCCTATAACACCTGTTATGCATGGTTAGCCACCCATCTAAACACTGTCCATGCTCGAACCTGCTTAGCTTTCTTGATCTGTCGAGATCGTGCCAATTCCAGGAGATTTGTTCATTAGGCTACTGTATCACATTTACCCACGTTAGAGTGTTTTACAGACATGTCTGGTGATCTGTCCACCTTCCTGGATCGGACCATCTTTAGCTTTAGAACACCAGACCCTGGAGAGAAATTAGGCGACTCGTGCATGCCCGAGGGCTTCCGGCAGCAACACACCGTCGTCTCTGACCCCTTTTCTCGTTGCTCGCTGCAGATCACAGCAAGACGGTGCATTGGCAGATGAGGTCGGATGGTGAAGTATGGGTGTGCGTCATGGGCGAAGATCCCGCGCTCAACCGCTTCTCCCGAAACGACATCCAGCGGTGAGTGGTCTCCCCTGACGGTGACGGTGGGGATGGCATCGGCAGTGGTGCTGATGATGCCGTTAAACGTAGCAATGCCGATCGCCGTGATGGCGATTGGAGCTGGAGATTCAACGATGCATCGATTTGTTCGTTAAAATTGATTTGTTGCGCTCGCGGATCAAACGCTGCGAAGAACAAACGATGATTACAATCATGTGGAAATTACGTTAAAATATTATTTTACGGTTTGGTTATTGGGCCAAAAAATGTTACAATCGAGATAATATGAATGAGAAAATATACAAACAAGATGGTAAAATGAGACAAAATAGACTCTTTAACTGAACCACTACCCTAAATCCTAACAATTAATTGAATTGTTGATAATGGGGAGTGGGGAACAAGGGGGGGGGTTAATCATCTTAATGATTATAATTTAGGGTTGTTAAATAACAAGGGGGGGGGGGACGAAAAACGATTTCATAATTTATGACAGTTTCTGAAAATTGGGTACCGGTCATCATTTGCAGTAGAATAATAATGCACTGATTGTCACACGCTAACGTACAATCAGTGCGGTGCCATCGTTTGTTGGTCAAAAGCTAAACGGGTAAAGTTATTTTGTTAGCTTTTTTTTCAGTGCAGTTTCCGGTATGGAAAAAAATTACGTCAACCCTTTTACAAATCTTTCATACCACCCACTTTTACAGCAGTGCACATTGCAATCGTTTCAAATATCACCTTCACTGAGCAATGTAATCACATTGCTACATCATAGTTTGTCATGGTGATGGTATAAGATGCTTGTATTGGCTAACATTCTGGTAATGATTGAGAAGTTAACTATTGACATGGTTGTGTGTGCAGTGCAATTAGTCAATGGTGGTAACAGATGACAATGGTGACAGATGACAATGATGTCATTAAATTTTATATTGATGAGTGAAGTCATTTATCCTTGTACAAAATATGCACTTCTCTTTTTATTAATCCACACCTGGATGAGGGCCTCCCCACACCGTCTGGGTCATTTGACCATACTTCATGCCGGTCAGTGCGGGTTTATGAAGACTGGGAGCACAGAAGCACAGTACAACAATGGCTTTTCCTGCACAATCCCACAGCCACCCGTGACAACCTGTTGTGCTTCATAGTCACCCATCTAAGCATTATCCCGGCTCAAGACTGCTTAGCTTCTGACATCTGGGAATGTGGTGCGCATGCCTTTTGATTTGATTGTAAGCATTGTTTTAATGATTTACAATGATAATGGAAACAGAGGTTAAGGACCACAGAGTGTGGACACACTGATTCAGGGCTGCTGCAGCAGCTGATGGTGCTTAATAAAGTGGTTGGGGCACTGGGGAAATGTCTGCACGGAAAGGGAATGTGAAAACAAAGCACGAGTATAGTGGGAAGTTGGCCGTGGATAATGCCTTCATTATTCAGCGAAGGTTGAGAGAGTACAGTGTGACGCTTTATTTTAAATATGAACTCGGAGGACCATCCGTTTTGTCTGTCTCGAGAATGTGTGCAAGAGAGCTCTGGTAGAGATAGCAGTTGATTGCCTGCATGGAAAAGGTGTAAATGTGCTGTGTGTTTAGCAGTGTGTGTGGAAATATGAAGCGGGGATGGACAATTCCAAACCGTATGAGACGAATTAAGTCTGTATTTATGATTCAGTCGGTTCTCAAGTTGTATTTTATTATGATTACAAATGATAGTTTACCTTATGGGATTAACATCGCATTTGCACGGTTGTCCCAGCAGAATGGTAGCAAGGCGTCCGATGCGTACAAACAAATCGGAAGATAACCAATTCATATTTCACACCAACAGTGATATTTAAGCTTATACACAAGATGACAATACATTTTTAAAATGCAGTGGAATTAAATAGATCATAGACAAAGATATAATGCGTGTAATAAATGCGTGTTCTCACGTGCATAGGAAGAGGTTAACCATAGGTCTAGTGTTAACATGATTTTTAACCGACCCTTAAGAGATGCGAGCCGTGGAAATTAGTCTCATTACGATATAACTGGTTCCAATCTCATGGTGCTCATTACGGCGACAGCTCTGCATGAAAATTACCCGCTGGTAGACTTGACATGAGACGTATTGAGTGTGAGAGAGATATATCCGACCTGTCGGCATGGTAAGCACTTATGTGAGCCTGGTGAGTGTTCAGAGTGATAGAATGAATGTATTTGTTTTTGAAAAGATGGATTTATCCTTTTTTATTCTGTATCTTAGAGTAGGATTTTTCAATAGGTGACCCAGAAGCCACTTGGAGTTGCCCACCGAGAGATCTCACAGAGACATTAAGATAGACAGATGAGTAAAAATGAAAGAGTAAACGAGATATCGAGCTAAGAGTGCTGTAGACAAGAGATAACGATAGTGATATAAACCAGAGAGAGATAAGAGATCTGGAGATATGAGCCACAGGTCATTGGCCCACAACACCATATTTTATGACTACACAGCGCCATTTGTGACGTCAGAGTTTTTGGGCATGGCCTGCCAGCACACGCTAGTTTTATTTTGAGGCCTGGAAAAAAGTATCGTTGAAGAATCTTGTCTGAGAGGGTTGATGGTGAGTGAGAATGCCAAGGCTATGGGCTATGCTTTGAACATATTGGTGCTGCATGTACATCATACCCATGACTCTGTGAACATAAATTTGCATCGAAAAGCGCATGCAAAATAAATAAATAACGAATCTCGCTGTTTCAACTATCAACCCGCATCGACCAGCGTAGTGAACTTTGGTCAAACCATGACTGATACGGCGCGGTCAGGCCTTCATCCAGCAGTGGACTGACTGACATGTACATATTCACACGACCAATCACATTTGAACGTGCCGTGCAGTTTGAACGTTCTCACCTGACAATCGGTTCGATTGTTACTAAAATGGAACTGGATTTGAATATGGAATCCAAACATTTTGGATAATCCAAAAACTGTAATCGATTCAGAACAACTCTACTCCAGGAACGCCACTAGGAGGGTTCTGGGGTATCACTCTCATCCTGCCGCCCCCCCTAACTGATAGGAGCTGGAGCAGGGCCTGCGCTACCCGTGGACCCCGTAAAACGTGTGCATCTGTTGTTCTGATTTCAATGCAGGAAGTCTGGGGAGGTCAACAAAAACGAGCGCTTCAAGGAGGCGAACCTGAAGGATCGTCCGCAGAAGCTCACAGCCGAAATGCAGCGGGAACTGCAACAGGACGTCCAGAGCAGCGAGCCGGAGGTCAGACATTAACTACGGGGGTCCAGTGAATGCCGCAACCTGCTCGTGTCAGAGTAACGAAATGTAGCTCGTGTAATTGTGTACAAATCGAGGCTGCCTTTGTGAATGTGAGTAATGCTTTATATGATGTGTGTATGCGTGCAAGTGTGTGTGTGTGTTTTGGGGGGGGGGGGGGTGGGTGGTGGTGCAGTGGTTGGCGCACTGTGCTACAATCTCGGTGACCAGAGTTAATTTCCCACTCGCGGCCTAAACAGTGGCGAATATATGAAACGACCCTGGGCCTCCCCTAGGTCGACTCAGCCTCAAATGAGTACCTGATGCGGTGCATAAACTTCGCTACTAAGGAGGCGAAGGCGGCTGGCCGTGGTGCTGGCCACCCAGCCCCTCATGTGCCGTCCCGACTTTCAGAGGTGCTCGATAATAGCACTTGCCCCAAAAGTCTGTTGTGGCTGTCCGGGGGTTTTTTGTCTTTGCGTATAGATAAATACACATGACGAGAGGTCTTCATGATAGAGCTCGCGTCGTTTTGATATTCCTACTTTGCAAGAGCACAGAATACAGTAAAGTGGTTCGACCACTAAAAATGTTTGTTTCAATCTTGACCTTTATTTTTCATTCATTATATATGAATAATGTTCCAGCATAGTTTAATGAATAAACACAAGAAGAATGAGCGCCCATTTAGAGAATAAGTGCGTTTTGTGTATGGAAACGCTCCCTACTGTACGTACTGTATATATTATTTTGAGATTATAATGTCAGCGAGTGAGCTGTTAGAATTTTGTTCTGGAAAAATAATAACGTTGCTGTCGGTAAACCTAGCTGAGGCTAGCGTGACACATCACACTTCACCCACAGGCAGATGTCACGGTGTTTTCTTGCACCTTTTTCTCCCATCCCTATTTTAAGGCCCCCATCATCCGTCCATTAAGTAATTGGAAATCAGGAATGCGAGAGCAGCTGGAGGCATCGGGCTAACATTTCTCGTATTGATTTCATTGTCAATTATTATAATTGCTTTGTAAGAAAATTCATGGACGTTCGGGCCACCGACCAGTAAATCATTGGAGAACAAACGGGAGAGTGGGTTCAAGCAAAAGATGACCGGTTTTCGTAGAAATTTCAATCCATTTGTTGATCCACTAATTTGTCAATCCTCTGCTTGTTGGTCAAACTGGGTTTAACCATACTTGACCGCGCTGGTCAGTGTGGATTGGTGAAGGGTTGCACAGGACTGGATTTTATATCACTCACCTCTGATATTGGTGACAATCAAACTCCGGTAACCAGGTTCATAGCACTGCGCCAGCTACCGCACCACTATAATACAAACACGAATACAAATGGCCCCTTAATTTGTTTAGGCAAGCCTCACTGAGTCTCAGTATTTCTTCTTAGGGTCCTCAGGATGTTTTACCATTTCCTCAATGAGTATTTGCTTCTGGGAGGAAGCTGAAGAACCTGAAAAAAACCCCCCAGACATGCAAAGTGGATAACGCTAAAACAATCTGTACATATAGGTCACCAACTCTCTTGTGCTACTAAATATTGGAGATGGTGAATTCTGATTAAATAAACTAATCGTCATCATCAGCCATAGTAATTTATAGATCAAATTCCATCATGCCTGGCGTTTGTAGACTGGCATTTGAGTTGGTGGAAATTGATGTAGTCATCTAAGCTCGCATGAACTTATAGACCTTATAAAGAACATAAACCAAAACAGGAACAGCTATGCTGAGGTTGCAGTAGAAAAAAAATACTAAAATAATTATGAGAAGGGGAGTCTGACAAGGAGGCACGTTTTGCGTGGGTTATTCACGGCTACATTAGAACACATTTTGTAACATTTGGCTTTGGAGAGACATCAAGGCATTACAAGCAATGGAGAAAATATTGACAAGTCTCATGTTCGCGGGTGACAGGCATCATAGTGTTCTATTTCAATCCACCATTTCTAGACACGTGCCTGAGCTGTGGCAGGATCTTTCAATCCCAGATTGGTGTCTTTAGCCATCTTCAGACCCATGGATAATCGAACTTTTTTATGGAAGACAATCATCCCCGATTGTGAGGGATAGCCGATGGATGATGAGTGACCAGTGGGACAGTAGAGGTTAAAAATTATGGGTGTGGTGGATCGTGAGTGTGGGTTTGATGGACAGCCTCGGCTCCAGCTGGTGTTTGCTTGAACACAATCGAGTCTTATCGTGTTACGATCCCTATGTCCGTCTCGTGAGCAGTGCGTCATCTTTTGTAAATATTTTAAAACTCTGGTAATGCATATTTATGCTCTGCTCCTACTTAAGTTATTCTGTCTCGTTCATCTTGACTTTTAAGACGTTCGAGTAACAGTTGAGGTGAGTAATTTTTTTGTGTGGATGCTACTTCCAATTTGTAGATCTTGCTGATGGTCTTTGCGATTTTTTTTAACCTGTGTACTGTATTCATAGAATGGGTGCTTGTGAAGTTTATGCCGTATCACACGTAGTACTTGGACTGTCGGTGTAATTCCAAGTGTGTGCCCCTCTGATTCTCTGTGCATTGTTCTAATCCACATGCGATAACCGGTCATATGCATTTATTGAAAACTTTCTTCTTTCGGCATTTTGGTATGTTACCATTAATTGTTTTGTATATTATTATCATTAAGTGACAAATGGAACACATGGTTCAGGAGACAAAAATGATCATTTAAAGACATTGCATTGACGTTTTAGAAAAGCAAATGGGCGTGGGCAGGGCATACTGCTTTGAACGATGATTGGCAATTTTTACAACGGGAGTGACATTCAAAGGAGGAAACACAACAGAGATGATGACCACTGCGATTATTCCACGAGATTTTTTATTTTTCCCAGGAAAGTCTTGCCGAGTCTCGAGACTTTTTCAGAATGGTCCTGCAAAGTTTTAGCAGTCGGTGATGTTGCTGTGCTATGTGTAATGCCAATTGAGCAACCCGCTGGTGGGTTTTTTTCGCATTGGGATAATTGGCCAACACCAGTTTACATTGAGTGCATTTTTCAGCTTTGGGAGGAAACGGGGAAACATCGAGGAAACCCATGCACTACAGGTGGAGAACATATAAATTTCACGCAGAAACTAAACGAAACTTTTTTAATTCATCAGTTAAGGCCCACTGAGTTATATAGCTCAGAAGCGACCTCACCACAAATGACAGCTCAATGAAGTGGCTTATCATGTGGAAACGCAGGTTTCTAAATGTGAAGGGAAAAACGGGAGGAGCTGCAGTAATATTCCACGTGGCTCCCAGGAGAACCACGCAAACAACAAATATACAGCAGCAGGCGTCCGGGTCGGGATCGAACCCACGGCCTCCTGTATACCAGGCGAGGTAGTTAACATCTCCTAGCCACCGTGATGATGATGAGAGACACGCAAACTCCAAATATACAGCAGGCGTCAGGGTTGGGATCAAACCCACGACCTCCTGCATACGAGGTGAGGTAGTTAACATCTCTTAGCCACCGTGATGATGATGAGAGAGAGACACGCAAACTCCAAATTAACATCTCCTAGCCACCGCGGTGATGATGAGAGACACGCAAACTCCAAATATACAGCAGGCATCAGAGGTCGGGATCGAACCCACGGCCTCCTGTATACCTGGCGAGGTAGTTAACATCTCCTAGCCACCGTAATGATGATGAGAGACACGCAAACTCCAAATATACAGCAGGTGTCAGGGTTGCGATCGAACCCACGGCCTCCTGCATACCAGGCGAGGTAGTTAACATCTCCTAGCCACCGTAATGATGATGAGAGACACGCAAACTCCAAATATACAGCAGGCGTCAGGGTTGGGATCGAACCCACGGCCTCCTGTATACCAGGCGAGGTAGTTAACATCTCCTAGCCACCGTTGCACCCCTCTAATTGCTGCCAGCCAGCTGTAGAGATGGAGTGATGACGGGAGCTCGTATGCAGGAGCTAAATGGACTAGTGCATCACGAGACCATGAAGAATGGCAAAGACCTGGGTGGGGTGTTCAGCCAGTAGTGGACAGAACTCGACTGCTGATGATGTAGATGATGACTAAGTATAGCGGCCTGAAGTGGCGGAATATTTACGTTGCATAAATAATTAGGTAAATCAGTTTAGACGTAGATATGCCTAATTCATACAAATAATTGGAGTGAATTGTCTGTTATGTGTGTCTTGTGTGTGTTGTGTGCGTAAAGCTCAAATGCATAAATAATATGAGAAATAGCAGCTTTTGCCTGTAAAGGCGGCTGATGGCCCGAGTCGTGGGTACGATGGCGATGTCGCACGCAGGGCTCTGGATAGAGATTCAGAGCTCCAGGGAACTCTGCTCACAAAGGTCCCTCCCTGTCCCACGCATTGACAAACAAGAGACTGCTTTCTCCACTGATTAAATGGAGCAAATGGTTGCACCGCATCTCCCTTTGCAAACACAGTGCTCCTTTATCGTGGTTGAGTCACCAGATGTTGTCGAGCTAAACCAAGTGGAAAGTTTAGAAAGTCATTGGTTTCAGGCTGGGCTCTGAGCCACAGGCAATGTGTACGCAAGTCCATAGGGTTCTCTTTCAAAGTTCATTGTCTCTCGTCTATTGCATTATAGTTTTCAACAAACAACGATCTAAATAAAGTGCCGATGACTCAATTACCACGGAAACAACCCATCTTGACAGAAATCAAAAGGGAAGCAGGATTTCAGCCTTGTCTTCACCAACTCGCACTGACCAGCGTGGTGAAGTATGGTCACATAACCCCCCACGACCCCCGCTCTGCGTGGGGGGGGAAGGCTCTCTTCCAGCATCAGTGTACCGCGACAAAGGGCTATGTACCACTCGTGTAGTCACAGCTTCGTGGGGGGTTTTACGAATTGTAGCGTCGGGGGGTGGGCGACCTCCCACTGCCTCGGTGCTGCGAGAGTGAGATAAGTGCCAATTCGGCACTAACACCTACGGGCACACAAGCTCTTTGATTGCGCTTCACGGGACAAAGTTTGAAGGACA